GGGCACAGGCAAATGAGGAAAGTTAGTTTACCACAAACTTTGATATTAGAGAAAGGGAACAGTCTTTCTGGTTTTATTCTTCTTCCCTGTTCAAGGAGAGATGGCAATGTTTGTTTTCAAAGCCAAACCAAAAATTCTCTGAGTGCTTCTGGCATCTTTCCAAACCTCTATTTAAATATATTTAATAAAATGAACAACCCTTCTGCTTTCCAAATACTTATCTAAAGTAGCTTGGACTATATAAATATGAATTAATATCCACCTTTTATTTTATGGTTTTAGCTTGCTTTGTAAAGTATTAAAAGAAATATCTGAATATTCATGTGACAGAGAGATGATATAGCTCAAAGTCTTGTGCCTAGTTCAATTCCATAAAACAAAGATTAGTTCTTTTAAATAAGAAGCAGCACATTATAAAGGCTTTTACTGGCACTTAAATAAAGCACAATATACCCCAACTACACAAACTTCTCACCTTATCCCTGTGTAATTCCTTTCATCACATTCCCAGTATAGGAATAGGGGATAGATTATTCATTTGGTAGGCTTAGTTGTATCTATAAAAAAGTAGCCATCCATTATCCTATTTATTTTACAAATGCCTTTATGTCACATCAATTGTATTAATATGCAGCTTAGTATGTTATGTTAATCTAACCACTCTAATTTGTAAACTATGAGTACAATAAATTGTTTTTTCCCTTATAAATCATGCTTATCATCACATCTAAAGTTGAACAATATTATGCTTTCTAATTTATATATATCCTTGCAAAATTGTATGCATAATTTCACAATTTATCATAAAAGGGAAGATCAGTTTAAACCCCCTTCCAATGTTTGCTTATTTCATTGATTTGGTCTTAACTGTTGGTTGAGTGATTTCTCTCTTTTGATAGACCCTGATCCTTACATTAGATATGGACTAGAAAAATACTATTCCAAAGAAGGATATGGTATGCAGACAATAGAAAGATTATTTCCTAACTGTGTCTTGACTCTTAGCCCTGAATGGATTTCCAAGAGTCTTAAACTTTGAAATTGGTACCAGTGCTAGAGAAATAATACAGCATATGTGTATCCTTCTCAGAATATTCTCCAAGCATTTCTCTTCAGTTCCATTACTACCAACTTCACCTCCTTCTAACCACAGTCAGATTCACTTCTGGGCATGATTGTTTGAAAATTTCAGCCAGCACATTTCCTCCAAATAAGCTGCTTGATTTTTTAAAATGGCATTTTAGAAATAAAATTATAAAAGCCTTAGTCACTTTTCTGTTTTTGTTCTGAGAGTGTGGGAAGGACAAAAGAGTATAATTTTTGTTCAGTTGGGGTGACATGGCAGATATCTGATATTTTAGGGTAGCCTCTCAATCTGTTATGAGATCCTAGCCAAATGTTCCTTTCTCCAACATCTGCTTTGGGCTGTTGACTAAGCAGTTCCCTTTATTTCTTCTCCTTGATTTGGCCAAATACATGAATGTAATTTCATGTTTTTTGGTGAATAAAAGAGAACCCCTTTAATGGCAACAGAATAGTTTTCTTTAGGAAGTTAAGGACAAAATCAAATTGGGACCCTTCCCCTCCTTTCCTCCTGCTTCTTAAGTTTGATAGCAGAAGATCAGCATAGACTCTATTATCTCCACCTACTGAGGCATATTTATTTATTTTTATTTATTTGATTTGTCAATCGCTTACAAGAGAATAGGTATAAGTATATACATAGTTATGAATACATGAAATGGGTACATAAAAAAATAAAGAAACAATAACAGAAACAATAGGACAGGGACGGTAGGCATATTGGTGTGCTTATGCACACCCCCTACAGACCTCTTAGGAAAGGGGTGAGGTCCATAGTAGATAGTCTAAGGTTACAGTTTTTGGGGTTTGGGGAAGAAACCACAGAGTCAGGTAGAGTATTCCAGACATTGACCACTCTGTTGCTGAAGTCGTATTTCCTGCAATCAAGTTTGGTGCGATTAACCTTGAGTTTTTCTCTATTGTGTGCTCTTATGTTGTTATGGTTGAAGCTGAAGTATTCATTGACAGGTAAGTCATTGCAATGTATGATTTTATATACTATACTTAGATCAGACCAAAGACGGCATAATTCAAGGTTTACTAGGTCTAGAATTTCAAGTCTGGTAGCATAAGGTATTCTACAACGAGTAGAGGAGGTTTTAGATTGCGTAGTGCTTTTTCAGCATTGTCTTCTGTAAAATCGATATGTAGTAGATCATTGTAGTTTTCTGTGGTTCAGCTAGGAAATACTGGGCATGATCCATTGCTGTTTACAAATACTGAACCAAAGAATGTGTTAAAGAGGTTGGCTTTAATAGTGTCATCGTTGCAGTCTTTACCATTAGGTCCTATCAGGGGTGGGATGGACCTTGAGTCTTTTAGTTTGTTGTTTACAAACTTGTAAAAAGCACAGGTGGAATTGGTACGTAGAAGGTTTTTCTCTTGTTTAATGTGATAATTGTTGCATTCAGTCTTTATCTGGTGGCATAAATTTTTGTATCGGCTTTTGAAGTTGGCAACGTGACCAGATATGTTTTTCTGCCAGAGTGATCTCTTTTTGGACTGAAATTTCCTTATTGTTATAGGTAATCTGTTTTTTTCTTGGGGGGTGGGGAGTTGTTATTGGTACATATAGTTTGATGACTCTTTTGACTTCAAGTAAAAATATGTTGTAATGGTCTTCGACAGTATTGCATCCAGTCAATAGAGATTGCCAATCAAGGGATGAGAGTTCGTTGTCTATAAGATCATAGTTGCCTTTTTTGAAGTTATAATTGGGGATTATGTCATTGTGATGATTTTTGTGTGGGCATATGTTGAGACAAAAGTCAATCATATTGTGGTCACTGTTGGAAAAGGGTTCTTTAATTTGTATTCCATAAATTAAATTCAAACTATTGCAAAAGATGAGATCAAGGCAGTTGTTAAGTCTAGTATTGTTGGTTACTAGTTGTTCTAGTCCCAGATTTGTAACAACATTGTAGAAGGTTGCATGTATGGATTCAGTTGTACATTCGTTTAGGGTCCAATTAATATAAGATAGATTGAAGTCACCAAGAAAGATAAAAGTGTGTGGGCAAGATGTTGCCCATGTTAGTAGTGTATTTAGCTTGTTTACATGTTCGATGTCATAATCAGGTGCTCTGTAACATAGTAAGAATCGAAATGTGATATTTAAGGATAGTTCACAGATGATGGTCTCAGGAAGAGCAAGCTCCTGGGTAACTTTGATGTTTTTTAGATGTAAGAACTTTTTATAGAAGATAGCAACACCACCTTCTCTACGAATTTCACAATCTGATCAGTAAACATGATAGTCTCTTACTGTGGTAATGGAGTCAGGGAGAGATGCATTGAGCCATGTTTCACAGACAAATATGATGTTGAATTTAGCCATATTTAGCAAGAGGAGAAATTCAGGTATTTTATTCACAAGGCTTCTTGCATTGAGTAGCTTGTATTTAAGGCCAGCTGTAGTTGGAATTGAGGTAGTTAGGGGCGTGCATGCCTAGTCTTGGGTGATGGTGGATTGGATGAAGTAGGGTTGTGGTTGAAGATTAAAGCTGAGTAGTGGGTTGTGTGACTTACTTTTGATACCGTCAGCACGGTAGTCATACCTTTTAATTAACTGCATAATTAATAATTAATAAGCATGCCTTTTAATTAACTGCTGAAGTTAATGATCAGGGACAATGGGAGTTGTAATCCAACACACCTGGAGAAAATTAGGTTTGGGAAGGCTGCTTCAGCTTGTAAAATTTACTTAAGCACAGAGATGTAATGATATGGAAAAGTTTCAGCAGCAAAATTTCCTCCCATCCTACTAGGATGTGAAACACAAGAATCTATTACAGAATAAAACTGGTAACTTGTGCTTTCATAGTGTTCATTTCATGGCGGTTCACATCTTAAATGATTTTTAAAGGAAAAAAAAAGTTCCCTTTCTATGTGTCAGAAGGTAAGAGTGAATGACTCTGTAGGGATACACTACAATTCCCTTCAGTTGAGTGAATCTGGGGCAATAGGGTGAAATGTTGAGAGTTATAGTTCATCATGCCTACTGGATCCTATAAACAGCCATGCAGAAAATATGCCCTTACCCCAATCTTATGGATGGGCATAAACAATTGGAGAGAGGTGGTTCTGCAAATATTCAGGTCCTGGACAATGAAGAACTTTATGGATGACCAACAGCATCTTGAATTGGATCTGGAATTCCACTGGTAACCAGTGAAGCTCACAAAATTAGCAGCGTTATATGGATATTTGCACTGCTGCTTTCAAGCTCAGCCATAGTTTCCAAATGGTTTTTAAAAACAGCCATGTAAAGCATTTTGCAACTGTAAGATAAGGTCAGCTCTGTAGTTTAAACGGGGAATTACTAAGTGAACGTTTTCTTGGAAAGAACCAATCAGAGATGAAAGTCAAATCTGGCCCTAAACTCTGCCTCAGTTTACCTTCCCAAAAAGCAACTGAGTCAGAAGATCATTTGAAAGCAGTTTATTAGGGTACCTTGATAAAGTGGGATCTCTCTATGAAAAAGGAGAGAGAGAGAGACCCTCAAGCCCAATATTTCTCTCCTTTTTATAGTTAACACAACAAAGAAAATACAAGAGTAGAGTTGATTGGGCAGGATAAAAGTAACCTCCCCTTTGCCTAGGAAATCAGTTACATGTAGTCAAACATGTTACATATTTGCATCCCATAATATCACACATGTTCATTAAAATGAGGTCTGAAGTCAGAAGGGGCATAAATTGTAAGGAAAAAGGTTGTTTGGAGTTCACAAAAGAGATAAACCAGACCCCAATTTGTATTACATACTTTTTTCTTATCTGGAGCTAGTCTCCAGCTTGTTTATCAGTTTAGGAATGTTAAAAGCCAATAAACCTGAACATCTTTTTAAAAGAAAGAAAATAAATCAAAATACAAAGTAACTATGTTAGTTAGCAAGTTACACAACCCATGTGTTGTGCCCTGCCAGCCGCCTGTCCCTCCAGCAGCCAAATCAGATGAGGAGGAGGCGTGGGAGTCAGGCTCAGCATCAAGTCAACCTGAGAACTCTGAGGGAGAAAAGGGAATGGAGCTGGTAGAGAGAGGAGAGAGACAGAGGTGGAGTCTGGGCCATCAATTAGCCCTCAGATGGAGAGTCAACAGCCTCCAGATCTGGAGGTGGCTGATGAGGAAACAGGAGGAACAGGTGGGGCCAGTGTCTGATGCGTGGATGTACAGAAGGCAGAGGAGAGGAGAGCAGTGGAAATGTGTGGGCCAATCCTAGGGATGGAAGGAGGGGTGGGATTCTACAGGTTCGCACCTATTCACTAGAACCGGTTGTTAACATTCTAAGCAGTTCAGAGAAGTTGTTCGGAGCAGTTGTTAGAAGAAATTACTGGCCTTATCCTGTAAGGAAGGCAGGAAGGAAACATTCTGGTGTTGCTTACAGAAACTGCCTCTCCATTAACTCTAATTACATTCTTGGCAGGACTAGACTTCCTGTCTCTGGAACTTCTCTGGAGGATTTTTCCTCCTTTGCTGGCACTTTGCTTATGTGGAGTGACCATTCAAAGTTACAATGGCACTGAAAAAAGTGACTTATGACCATTTTTCACACTTATGACTGTTGCAGCATCCCCACAGTCATGAGAGGCCAGGCGAGGAGATGCATGCCTCGATGTGAGTGATGTTGAGTTGGCCACACCCATCCAGTCACATGACCACCAAGCCACACCCACCAACTAAGCCATGCCCACAGAACTGGTTGTTAAAAAAATTGAATCCCACACCTGGACGGAAGCCCCACTACTGCTAGTGAAGCCCCATCCTAGCTCTGGGGATAAAAGGCAGGGGGCAATGATGAATAGATGTGGCAGACAACTATTCATCTCCCTGCCCGACAAACATGTTAGCCTGTGCTGAGAGAGAAACTTTTTGCCTGGGGCTCCTGGTGTTCCTAATAAAGGAATCATTGATTTAACTTCATAGGGTTTGTTGTGTTTGGGGAACTGGATCAGAACACCATATCATTTGCCCCTCAGAGATCAGTCCTCACCGATCTGCGTTAATTGGAAACCAGCTTGGCCATTGAGAAGTCAGGAAACTTGGCAATAAAGACAGGAGACCTGTCCGCCCTTACTCCGTTGCCTGTGGTCTATCCAGCAAGACTACTTTGTCTCTGAAGATGTCAGCCACAGTTGCCAGAAAAATGCCAGAAATCAGTTCTCTGGAATATGGTCACTAACCCTAAAGCTCAGCACTATGCTACAGCTACCAGCTGTGGAAGTCTTTGCCAGTATGTTGGTTTCTAGGCAGTTGACCCTGTTTCTAACTACGAAAGCAAGTGGGGATCTCATTTGCTGTCCTCACGAAAATCCAAAGGACAAACAGAGTAATCTGATATCAGCTGTTGCTCATCTGCTCCCACACTTTTTAATCTTGCCTTCAATCACTTTCCATAACAGGATTATTGAAGACTGAGAAAGGTCACACATTTTCTATCTTCCCTCTAGCCCAGTGATCCTGTAAGAACAACTTGTATTGGTTTCATCTCTGATATGAGCTTTACTTAATTGTTTATTAGTATGGCTGCTGGTAAATAAATAAGCCATTTGTTTGGCTTGGGAATTGCCCAACACTTGCTAGCATACAAAATAATTGATACTTATGTTTGAGGAAAATTATTGTGTTTTTTTTTTTTAATGCATTAAATATTTAAAGCTTCCAGCTTAGAATGCATTTGTTTCATTTGCAGAGCATAAAAATACACATTAAATTCTCCCCCTCTTTGTTCTTTTCTCTTTTCCTTTGGTGGTGCTTAGAGATGTGAATTCATTTCTTGCACTCTGCATTTGGTCCCTTTGGCTATCTTGAACTTTTTCATGAGACCAGTAGCAACTGAAAAACATCCATGGATTTTAACTGGGTTCTTTCTTCAAGGTTAAATGTCTATGGAGATTCTCAGTCAACCAGGTCATGGGTGTCCCAAAGGTACTTTTTCAAGAGGCAACTGGGATTTTTTTTCCCTCTGAAGACATTTTGCTTCTCATCCAAAAAGCTTCTTCAACTCTGACTGGACTGTGGGGATCATGTCAAAATTGAATAGCCCTCTCCCAACAGAAGGGGAGGGATAGAACATCTATCTGCAGTCTACAATACAGTCCTTTCAACAGTTCCAAGAAAGCTTCACATCCATTTTCATCACTCAGGTGACCCTGATGATACAGATGGCCGTAACAACCTGTTAAAAGAATGCAAATGATCAACTGTCTGCAAGGAGTATAAATCAGTGGTAGGATTCAAATTTTTTTACTACCAGCCCTGTGGGCGTGGCTTGGTGGGTGTGGCAGGGGAAGGATACTATAAAATCTCAATTCCCTCCCCACCCCACTAACCTGCTGTCCAGCTCCGTTCTCCTGTGCAGGGCAACCAAAGAAGACCCAGTCAATCAGCTGGGTCTCGGGAGGCAGAGAATAGATGGGGGCGGGGCCAGTCAGAGGTGGTATTTGCCGGTTCTCCAAACTACTCAAAATTTCCACTACTGGTTCTCCAGAACTGGTCAGAGCCTGCTGAATACCACCTCTGGTATAAATCCTTCCATTCCCCACCCATCCAGTCAGAGCTGAAGAAGCTTCTTGGATAAGAAGCAAAACGTCTTCAAAGAAAAACCAGAAAGTCTAGTTGCCTCTTGAAAAACCACCTTTGGGTTCTTCAAGGTTATCTCTGAACTCTTCTACAACTAGCCATAACTGAAATGGTGTAAATGATTAGTTGACTATAGAAGACTTACAGGTAGTCCTAGACTTACAACCATTCAGTTAGCAACTGTTTGAAGTTCCAACAGCACTGAAAAACAAACAAACTTACAACTGGTCCTTGCATGACCGTCGCAGCATCCCCACAGTCATGTGATTAAAATTCAGACTCATGACAACTGGCATGTATTTATGATGGTTGTAATTTCCTTGGGGCATATCAGCAACATTCAAAACTTTTTGACAAGGAAAGTTAATGGAGGAAGACAGATTTGCCTATTGACCATGTCATTCACTTTACAGCGCTGGTAAAAAAAAAAGTTTGTAGAATAGGGAATGACTCACTGAACCATCACCTTCTTCTGGTCCCAATTATGGTCCTAAATTGAGGACTACCTGTGTAAAGATCAAATTGCGATTCCTCTTTAGAGCTCAAAGAGAGCTCTCAGATCATGTAGTCTAGGGATATCATGTTTGGCTGCAAAGACTGGAAGTTGGCAATAAAGAGCTACAGCAAAATCTAATTCTTTGCTATCATCTAGTGCAGTGGTCGCCAATCAGTGGGCCGGGTCGACTGATGGTCCCTGAGAAAATTTTGGTGGTCTGCAGAGAAATGTCTCCCCCAAAGCAATTAATCCAGGCTGCACAGGAACACAAGGCTGTGCCACCCACATGGCCCGTGGGAACACAAGGCTTGTGTCACTTGCATTGCAAACAACACAAGGTAGTGAGGGGAGGGGTGAAAGGGTGGAGGGGAGGAACTTGCCCCACTCACCCCACGCGCCTCTCCTGGCCACCAGGCTGCTTCTTTCTGCTTCTTTCTTCTTCTGTTTTGGCTGTACGCAAGGAAAGCAGCAAAAGTATTCCTTTCTCTCCCCCAAACTCTGTCAGAAATGAGTCTTTGGAACCCTGCAAGGCATCCTGCTCCAAGAGGCTGTGCTGGTGTGGCAAGTCTCACAAAGACTCATTTCTGGCAGAGTTTGGGGGAGAGAAAGAAAGACTTTTGCTGCTTCTGCTGCTTTCCTTGCATGAAGCCAAAAGTCTCTCTTTCTTTCTCCCATCCCTTGAGAATGGAGCTGGAGACAGTATCCTGCAATCTCAAATAAAGAATGATTGATTAGTAGGAAAAAGGGGTGAGGAATTTTCCTGCAGACTTTTGGGGGGATTTTCCCAGGGTCTTTGGTCTGCGGGATTTAAAATTATGAGTTGGATGGTCCCTGAGGTCCAAAAGGCTGGCGACCCCTGATCTAGTGGCCATCTGAGTTTGTAACCCAGATATGGCAGTTCTAATCTGGTGTAATTCTCTGACAGCAGAAGAAATGAATGATTATCACATCCTGAGAAGTGACAACTTTACTTGATAAAATGTTCAAAGGTGTTTCAATCCCAAGAGAATTAGTCAGGCCCACTTAAACCATCTTCCTAATCTTAACAAATGGTACATTTTGACAGAGTTGGTAATATTACATGAGGCAAGGATTAAGAGACATTTGGGAAAGAAATTATTAAATTTCTTGTCTCGTAAACCTGGGTGAGGCTATGACATTTAAGAAATCTCTAGATAATATCAGCAACTTGGGTCCATTTACTCTTCAACTATTTGACTCAGAAAGGTGGGAGGAGAAAGCATAGAATTTAAACTCCAAAACAGATGGAAGATATTTTGTATGCCAGAATGTGTGCTTCAGACTAGTTTACAGTAAAAACAAAATCAAGTATGTCATGTCTGCGAACCTATTGTAAAGAAGCAACTTCTTGAATCTTAAGTGTCTGGAAAGTTAGGATTTATTGCCATGTCTAGTGTGAAGCCGAACTATAATGGCATAGTCTCCTGAATGGAGTGAAAGGCATAGCAAAAGCAATAGCACTTAGACTCATTGTATATACCACTTCACAGTGCTTTATAGCCCTCTCTAAGCAGTTTACGGAGTCAGCATATTGCCTCCAACAATCTGGGCCCTCATTTTTACCAATCTCAGAAGAATGGAAGGGTGGAAGGCTGAGTCAATCTTAAGGCAATGAGACTCAAACTGCTTGAACTGCTGGCAGCCAGCAGAACTAGCCTGCAGTACTGCATTCTAACCACTGTTCCACCATAGCGTACACTGATGATCTGAACAAAATGCAGTCAATGAGTATGCTACTCACTCAACTTTTGGAGATTAAAGCCATGGCAGGCACTCAGTGGATCATTTCGCCTAATTGAAATGCAAAAAAAAAAAAAAGTTGAGATAATCTTTGTGATGTGGAAAAACTATACTGTGTCTTTACAGAGGAACAAAGGTAAGAAGAGACATATCAGAGATGTGTAAAATCATGTATGGTAAGGACATATGATGAGAGAAAAATCTTTTTTTTCTTCTCTCAAAGTGATGGAATTGGTAATCACTCATTAAACTAAATGTGGGGAAATTCGGAGAATGGCTTTATCCAATCCCTAGTTAAATAATGGTAATTGCTGCCATCAAATTAAGTGATGGCTACCAATTTAAGTTATTTTAAAGGGCAACCAGAAGAGGCTTATTGTAGCTACTATTTTTATGTTTTGGCTCTTCGTGGCCTCCTAAATTACAGGCAGCATACCTCAACAACCAGCTGCTAGGAAGAAAACAGGAGAGAATTATCACCCTACTACTCTTGCTTGCAAACTTCCTGCTTCTCCATGCTGTGACAAGGAAGGTAGAACTGGATGGGCTTCCAGCTGGGAATATTTCGCGTGCCTGCCAGATGAGCTAGAGGAGGAGCTGTAGTTAACTGTTTTAGAAGGCGGACTTGAATTATCCTAGAGCAGGGGTGTCAAACTCAAGGCCTGAGGGCCAGATCTGGCTCACAGGGTGTTTAAATCTGGCCTGTGGGACCAGAAATAACAAAGGACCAGCTGGCTGTGCCTCTGGCAGCCAAAACGGGGCATGGGGGGACACATGTGGCCCCCTTGTGCCCCATTTTCGGTCTGGACAGCCTACTTCAGCAATCCTCCAGCCAAAATGGGATACATCAGGGAGGCCACATGTAGCTCTCCTGCACCCCATTTTTGGCTTGAATGGCCTGCAGCACCTTGCTGGCCAAAAATGGGGCATGGGCCACCACATGCACCCCCATGCCCTGTTTTGGCTAGAGGAATGCAGCAGGGAGGAGGCCAACCATCCTGCACACACCCCAGCCGGCCTATGGAGGATTACAATGCTGATCCACCCCTCAACGAAATCCAGTTTGACACCCCTGTCCTAGAGGAATCTAATGGCATAAATTAGTTACATGCAGGTGATATTGGAAAAGAGGTGGTACCAAGGAGTGATGGGGAGCCCTTGGTAAAGGCAAAGCCAGTGCTGTGCAAATACTCTTGTAACTGAAAATGTACACAGGACTTCCTGGCGTAATTGTTGTATTAATAAAGGAGAATATTTATAGCTCAGTGTTGATAAGAAAGGGGCCCCTGGTACGCTCTGAGCTTGCTTGTTTTCTTGCAGATGTTACAGCTAGGAAACATCACTAGCACTGATGATGTTATCTAGTTTGGGTAATGCAACATCTGCAAAAAAAAACAAGCAAGCTCAGAAAGCACCAAGGACCCCTTGCAATGCTGTATTAATTCATTTCAATTATCCATGAAACTAATGACTTGTATGGAGAAGAAAAGGTAACCTGGCACTCTTCTATTAAAACACCAGAGTTGGGAAATGAATTTAGCAGCCTTCTTTTCTCTTTCTTCCTTTCAGCTTTATTAGGGTGATGGAGTAAACTTGATAGTATTTCCTTGCTGCATCGGTCAACATGTAGCAATGGCCAGGAGATTAACCTAATTACTAATTGTGGTTTTCATGCTTGAGCAGATTCCAACTGACCGTCAAATCCCACCCATCTTCTCCCCCTCCTGTGGTTGTGATTTCTTCTCATCTTCACTCTTTCCAAACAGGATAAAGACAAAGGCCCTCTGAGGTGCCCTGAAAACCACATCTCTTCTAAAATAAAAAGGACTAAGATGAAAGGCATATTTTTCACCTAATCTATCAAGAACACCAATTCTCCACTGCTGACAGAATTATTTCTTTGAGCTGCATGCAGGGGAGATTGGCTGAAAACAGCTAGCATTAAGGCCTGGGAAAGGGTTGGCCAAGCTGGTCTTGTGCCTATTTATAGTAGCTGCCTTTCTTCTCTTCTTGCCATTCTTTTCTTAGCATTGGCAAGAGGGGTACAGCTATCAGTTATCCATGAAACTAATGACAATATGAGCAAACTTTAGTGGAGCAGGTGCTCAGGGAAGAGAAGGGACAGGAGGGGGGGAAAAGGAATTTAAAGACACAAAAAAGGTGTTCCTGGCCAGCGAGTGCCATAGTTATTGATTGTCTATCATCATTACCAATTGAGGCAATGTCATTGTGACTTTCTCCAGTTTTAATTCTTTCCCTGGGCCTCAAAATTGCTCCCATTATTCTTGGTTAGGAAAATGAGATGGTTGGGAAGGTCTCCTTCCAACTCTTGTTTTTCTTCCCTATCTGGCATTATCTTTATATTTAGAAAAGTTTGCCAACAATTGATAAAACATCTCATTCAATTTTACCATGCTGCGTTTGGATTTTGTTTTTGAAGTCATCATCCCCCCCTCTCTCTTCCTCTCCCTCTCCCTCTCTCCCTCCCTCCCTTAGTCTCTCTCTCTGTGTCATTTCCTCACTTTAATGTTTTGTCAGAAGCATACCATGTAGTCTTGCAAATCTCTGACTTCACAATTTTCTGCATTGCTTCCAGAGCCTGCTAAATACAACTAAATCCAAATAATTTCTTGGCTTGACTGCTGTTACAATTTGTACTTCAAACTCCACTAAGCAGTTGTTTCTTTCAAATGTGGTTTATTGAATAATGCACAGTGGCTGATTTCATTCATAACCCTAAGGTATCAATTGTTACATATAAACAACACATGGAAGGTTATAAACAATACTGACACTACATAATTTGCTTCCTAATATGGTGAACTTTTTCAACACAAAGAAGAATGTGAAATATGTTTCCAGAAGAAGAAACTACAGTCCAAACCTACAAAAACATCATCCAGGGACATGTATACGTGTCTGTGTGTGTATGTGTCAGAGAAGTTAAGATGGTATAGGATTAAAGCCCAACTCTCTTTTAAGGGAACTGGGCCTTCAATCCTGCTATCATGGCTGCCATTTTGATTTCTTTGATCCTCCCCGACAGTTCCCTCCCTTACCTCAAGAGGGAAAAAGTGGGGAGAATCTCTGAATCATTCTTGACTCCTGGTAATTCATGGACATATTTATGCTATCTTGGCAACAGTGGAGAAGTGATGTGTTATTTAGCTATTCAGCAGAGAGCTGAAGAAGCTTCTTAGGGAGAAGCTAAATGTCTTCAAAGAAAAATCAGAAAGTCCAGTTGCCTCTTGAAAAAGTACCTTTGGGACAACCATGGCCTGGATGACTGAGAATCTCAATAGAGTCCTATGAAAAAAAAAGAACGGACTAAATGTACAGTAGATTGTACATCTCCTTGACAAGAACTAAAAATAAATGTTAAAACATCAATAGTTGAAACACTGAAGTTTTATGTTATACGAAGGCTTACAGAAGACAATTAATTATCATATCATTAGCCTTGGCCATGAGATGATCTCTAACATTACAACAAAAAGGATAAAAACAAGGAATTATATGTGAAGAAGATGGTTATAAAATGGTGAAGCAAAAGTTAAAAAGCTACAGCACTAAACAGTTCTTCAAATAAGAGTCCTATGGAAAAAAAAGAATGGACTAAAGTTGCAGGGCTGTGATATGAAGTTAATAGATATTTATTTTGCTTCAGCAAAAATGGAACCCAGAATTTATTTCCTGATAGGTAAGAATTGTATATCCCAGGTAAGCAGAGTTTGGCTGATTTCAAAAAATGAAACAGGGCTATAAGTGTGTGTGTGTGTGTGTAAGAGAGAGAGAGAGAGAGAGAGAGAGAGAGAGAGAACACACAAGAAGCTAGCAATGGCAGACTATTTTCTACTGCTGCCAAGATAATTATCTGGTTTTGTCCATGTAGTCATCAGGATTTAATATTCAAAGAAGATCTCTCTCTCTCTCTCTCTCTCCTCCCTCCCTCCCTCCTTCCTTCCTTTCTTTCTATCTGAATTGACCTTTGACACAAATGCCTAGATCAGTGGTCTCCGGGTTATGAATTAATCAGCTCTATATAAATAATCATTTTACAAAAATATATATACCCAATATCAGGGGTGCTGGGAATTGTAGTTCAGCAATATCTGAAGGATAGGAGTTCATTCCTGTGCTAAGTGGATTTCAACAGCAATAAATGTAACAAAATTACAACAGTTACAGTATGCCTGACATTTTCAATAACAGAAATTAGGTCTGCTATGAAAAATTATATAAGCAATCACAAAAGGCAAATTAAACTACTGAACACTGGTTTAATATTGTCATCAAACATTGCCTGAAGGTAAATATGCAGATAATTTTGTAATTCTTTCTTAGAAGGAATTCCTAGGAAGTAGTGATGAAAATAGCCTAGCAGTCCCAAACAGTAGCAGAATATCTCTATACATTTGCATATTTAGCTTTTGAGTCTTTCTGTATTACTGCCACTTTTGTTAGCAATATGTTATTATTTGCAAATGCATAATCTATCAGTTTTTCTTGGCAGGATGCACATTTTAAAACAATCAGTCTCTTTGAAGGAATTTAGGAGAGATGAACCAATGGAACGATCATGGTCTGGCAGAAATACTTTGACAAGTTTTGATCACTTGGAAATACTATTTGGGGGGATCAGAACAGGAGGAGGTAATGAAAGATATTTATTGGCCAGCTTTTCTTTCAATGGCAGCTCAAGTTCCACTACCACCATCTGTTACTGTACTCTACTTTTCAAGTGAAGGATTGTGACAGTTGTGTGTATTCAGGCAACACGCTTTGGCCTGCATCATTGAGAAAGAGGTTCTTCTTAGCCACTGATTCCCTTGCATGCTCTTTTATTTTTTTCCAAAGCGGGCTGCAGATATTCTCTTGGAGAAATGCTGAGAGTTGCTGCCTATCCAAAGTAGGGAGATTAGAAGGGAATTCCCCAGGCCCTCTGCTTTTTCTACCACCTTCTACACTGAAGGGATAGGTTGTATAGACAGCAGGGTGTTTTTTCCCCCCTCCTTTTCCGGAATCCTGTCTTCAAAATATGAATGTGTTATGCCTGAACTTTTTTTACAAAAATGAGAAGAAGCAGAACAATAGTCAATTTGCTGTATTGAGTTCTGTGCCTGGCTGGTAAGTATATCCATATCTCTATACTTGCAGGCGTATGATGTTGATATTTAAAGTAGGAAAAGTTGGCATGATCCAGAGTGTGCATCCTTATTATCCCCTACAATGAAGGTGTCCACAAAGGATTCAAAGCATTTTGACTACTTTGGATCCCGATAGTGTTTTTCTTCTGTTTCTGCTTAATGGCATTGCATGATTGCTAACACCATTCAGAAGTGAAGGATCAATTGCATGTTTCTTCAAAAAGGAAAGAAACATAGCAAAGCTTGAATTCTAAGTACAGGTATGTTTTGGGATAAACACCAGCATCTTAAGAGAAAGGAAATTCTTTTTTGAGGAAAAAAAAGGTTAAGTGAAAAGGTTTAGACAAATACTACCCCAAAATGATATTGAGATAGATAGCCAATGTTTTAAGGATGTGATGTATTGCTTTAGAGATTATTATCTGAACTTTTAAAGTTTTAAAATAAACAAAATCATTTTCAAAGCTATGTGCATTTTGACATTTGATCCAGAACCTCTTATTCCATCTGATGTATGCTGGTAATACCCATATCTGTCTGTCTCCTGTAGATAGATTATCTTAACTGTAGCTTTCTTCTTCTTCTGTTCTTCTTCTGTTCTTCTTTACCCAGATATAACTTTGCATCCAAATGATAGTTTTCCCCCCAGTGACTGTAAACCATCCTTTCCCAGTGGGAAGTTGTGTGATTACCAATTATTTTAACTTTGTACCTTGGTATTTGATAGTCCCAACAGTATTTAGTGTACGTAAGCAGATTAATCTGGGTGAAAAAGATGGTAAATTTCATTGGAAAGGCTATTTTAAACCACAGAGGTTGTTTCTGGCTTGCATATTTGCACATGAAAATTGATTCTGGGAGAATCAAATGGATGAAAATGTTTAATTTTGAAGTACATGTGTTCTACAGAATACTTAAAGCATTTTTAAAGCTTTTTTTTTTTTTAAAAAGGTATTTCACAGAGCTCTTGAAAGTGTTTGCTTCAATATACACTGCTAAAAAAAATAAAGGGAACACTTAAACAGCACAATGTAACTCCAAGTCAATCACACTTCTGTGAAATCAAACTGTCCACTTAGGTAGCAACACTGATTGACAATCAATTTCACATGCTGTTGTGTAAATGGAATAGACAACAGGTAGAAAGCATAGGCAGTTAGCAAGACATCCCCAATAAAGGAGTGGTTCTGCAGGTGGTGACCACAGACCACTTCTCAGTTCCTATGCTTTTTGGATGATGGTTTGGTCACTTTTGAATGCTGGCGGTGCTTTCACTCTAGTGCTAGCATGAGACGGAGTCTACAACCCACACAAGTGGCTCAGGTAGTGCAGCTCATCCAGGATGGCACATCAAGGCGAACTGTGGCAGGAAGGTTTGCTGTGTCTGCCAGCATAGTGTCCAGAGCATGGAGATGCTACCAGGAGACAGGCCAGTACATCAGGAGATGTGGAGGAGGCCATAGGAGGGCAACAACCCAGCATCAGGACCGTTATCTCCGCCTTTGTGCAAGGAGGGACAGGAGGAGAACTGCCAGAGCCCTGCAAAATGACCTCCAGTGGGCCACAAATGTGCATGTGGCTGCTCAAACGGTCAGAAGCAGACTCCATGAGGGTGGTATGAGGGCCCAACATCCACAGGTGGGGGTTGTTCTTACAGCCCAACACCATGCAGGACGTTTGGCATTTGCCAGAGAACACCAAGATTGGCAAATTCACCACTGGCACCCTGTGCTGTTCACAGATGAAAGCAGGTTCAGAGTGAGCACATGTGACAGACGTGACAGGGTCTGGAGATGCTGTGGAGAACTTTCTGCTGCCTGCAACATCCTCCAGCATGACCAGTTTGGCAGTGGGTCAGTAATGGTGTGGAGTGGCATTTCTTTAGGGGGCCGCGCAGTCCACCATGTGCTCACTAGAGGTAGCCTGACTGCCATTAGGTACCAAGATGAGATCCTCGGAGCCCTTGTGAGACCATATGCTAGTGCAGTTGGCCCTGGGTTCCTCCTAATGCAAGACAATGCTAGACCTCATATGGCTGGAGTGAGTCAGCAGTTCTTACAGGACGAAGGCATTGATGCTATGGACTGGCCCACCCGTTCCCCAGACCTGAATCCAATTTAACACATCTGGGACATCATGTCTCGCTCCATCCACCAATGCCACATTGCACCACAGACTGTCCAGGAGTTGAGGGATGCTTTCGTCCAGGTGTGGGAGGAGATCCCTCAGGAGACCATCCGCCACCTCATCAGAAGCATGCCCAGGCATTGTAGGGAGGTCATACGGGTACGTGGAGGCCACACACACTACTGAGCCTCATTTTGACTTGTTTTAAGGACATTACATCAAAGTTGGATCAGCCTGTAGTGTTTTTTTCCACTTTAATTTTGAGTGTAACTCCAAATCCAGACCTCCATGGGTTGCTAAATTTGATTTCCATTGATAATTTTTGTGTGATTTTGTTGTCAGCACATTCCACTATGTAATGAACAAAGTATTTAATAAGAATATTTTATTCATTCAGATCTAGGATGTCTTATTTTTGTGTTCCCTTTATTTTTTTGAGCAGTGTAGATAAGACAGATAGACCAATTCTGATTTTAAACATCACAAGTTTTACATTTATGTGTAGGGTTGCTACTACATTCTGCCTTTCTGGATTGAGAAACTATGCTTAAACTGTAATCCACAGTTGTCAGTTCAGTGTTTTGATTCACATGATAAACAAAAACTGGTCAACTCACATTTTAATTTACCTTAATTGACAAAGTGTGATTGACCCAAAACTTAGTGGCTAGGTAGGCATTCAAGTACAATGTTTCTATAGATGAAACAAAGTCCAGAACTCAATGAGAAAGTGAAGTTAATAATGATTTCGTGTTTGGACCCTCCCAAAAGAGACTCGCTTGCAGTATGAGTCCTTATGGGAGATTCATTCAACAGCACAGAGTGCCTTTTTTTATTTGTAAGTCAAGGTTCCTGTGCTTGGTTGCTCTTGGCTGAGCCTGTTAGTTGAGTTGGGCCGAGTTAAGAACTTGGACCATTAAGAGGAACCTTTAGGAAAATACCAGGGCTGAAGAAATTGAAGCAACATTTCTTTTTTAAAAAGCAGCAACCAACACTTTCTATTTGCTAATAAAATAACATGTCCATGTCTTTTAACACACTAGGTGTTGAGAACTTGACTCAAAAGAGATTGCAAATCACTGCACAATGTTCTGGGCCAATGTTGAATTGGTATACGCCTCTATTTTTAATTTGGGACAAACAATTTTAAACATCAGTTTTGTTCTCCCTTTATATATCAATTGATGCTTCTTTGGAGTTTGGGAACTGTAGAGTTTTCAATGGTGACTCTGCTATGGAACTATTTTGTCAGGATTTTCTCCCAGGTTGAAGAATATCTAACAACCTAAGCACCAGAGCTCACTGTAACAGCATTGCCAAAAAGGCATTAAGAGTTGTAAATCTAATCTTATGAAGCTTCTCCTCCGGAAATATAGAATTGCTAACTAGGGCAAAATGATATTGATGAACCAATACCTGAATATAGCTCATCTGTCTGGAATCCACACTGTGTATCGGACATTAATACAATTGAGCGAGTCTAGAAGTATTTCACGAGAAAAGTACTACACTCCTCTGCTCGCAACAAAATTCCCTATATCACC